GGAACATCACAATATATTTTTTTTCAGTTAAACTGTGCTTTATATGTAACAGTGCACTATTAAAAGAAGAATTAAAACAAAAGAACTTTACCATATAGTAGAGAACCCTGGACAAAACAGGCTTAGACAACCATGACAGTAAGTATTCGTTATCGTCATTCATGTGATCCATATTCTGTAGTCCAATATTAAGAGAGAATAGGGTTATGAAGATGTTAAATTAACATAAAAGAAGCATATATAATCAAACATATTATGCAATAGTTAATACATAGAACATGGTGAGGATTAAAAGAAAATTAACAGAGATTTTAATTCTTATTAGAAACATTGAAGGTAGAAATTGTAGAAGATTTTCACCTTCAGCTTTGTGATGCAGTCTTCTTTGGTAGGGCGGCACAGAAGTATTAGCCTTTGACAATGCAGTGTAACCCTAATTTTTGTCAATTTTATATGAAGTCCGCCATTACTGAGCCATAACTACTCGACTTAAATGCCCGACTTTTATGTAATTTAAATATTGTTGTATATTTATTCTATATTTATTCTAGTTTAGTTGTATGTTGTTAGTTGCATAGTTAGTTGCCATTATTGACCCATAACTACTCGACTTAAATACCCGACTTAAATATTGTTGCTAGGTTAGTTGTCTGTTGTTGCTAGGTTAGTTGTCTGTAGTTGCTAGGTTATTTGTCTGTTGCTGCTAGGTTAGTTATTTATTGTTGCTATGTTAGTTGTCTTAAATTGCTAGTTTATTTATTTCTTGCAGTTGGGCTAGTTGTCTTAAGTTTCTAGGTTATTACTTTCTTGCTGCTAGGTTAGTTGCTTTTTGTGGCTAGGTTATTTATTTCTTCCCGCTAGGTTAGTTGTCTATTGTTGCTAGGTTAGTTGTCTGTTGTTGCTAGGTTTGTTGTCTGAAGCTGCAATATTAGTTCTAGCATGTTGCATGGATAGTTTTTTGTTGTTGCTAGGTTATTTTTTTTTTTAAACAAACAACGCCCCGGAAGGGCGGGGGATTGGGTTGGATCCCCAACCTGTGCATAGATCAGGACCCCAAAATCGGGGGCCCAAAATATCAACGTACAACAGTCTACAGCAGTCTACAGAGTGCCACTAACAAAAATAAAAACAAAAAAGAAAAACGAAAAACCAGAAAAAATAATACAAAGTCTGTCTTCGGGCTAACAGGTGCCCGGAATAAAAATCCAATCTAATGAGAACAATAATCCTAATCTACTGAAAGCGGAAAGATGGATATCCAAGCTGGTCCATCCGAACAAGTGTACGAAGGCGGAGTGGAGCAGTGTCGGTCTGAGATGTATGTGTGTCTAGTATGGTGGCGCCAAGGCTGGCAAGGTAGTCAGCAGGTCTGTTCCCCTCACGAAAAATGTGCGTGATCCTGTGATGGACAGACCGGAGTAGAGCTCTAGTACGCATAAGCGGGTGCTGAATCTGCCACGAGCCCTGGTGGCCAGAAGTCAAAAGGGTGGCGACAGCCGCAGCGTCTAGCTCGATCCAAATATGGCTAGAGAGGTGGACAACAATCTGAAGGCCGATCCATAATGCCTGAATCTCTGCATCGTAGCTCGAGGAGGCCTGAAGGGACGTGTGGAAGGTGGTGATGAGGGCGCCGCTGTGGTCCCGAATCAAGCCTCCTCCTCCGGCAACTCCGGTATGACGATCAAACGAGCCATCAGTGTTCAGCTTGACCCACGGAGGGTCAGATAGAAGCCAAACAACAACTCTGGCCCGAGAAGGCCGAACAGGCGGTGGGGGGGCCACCATGTAACGGTGTGGCGGCGTGCAGCCTGTCTAGTCTCGGGCCGTGAGCCTGCCCAATGCTATGAGGAATGAAATGTGTCTCTCTACCTGCAAAACAATGTGAGGAAACAAAAAAGTAATATTCCTATGCTTCGCACTATTCCGCTCTGTCCAGGTGAACCAAAGGATCAGACAAGGAATGAGGAAGCCCACGTGTCTAAGGTGTGTGCTCAGTGAGAAAAAACTCAGGAGCTCAATGAAACTGTCTGTGGTGGGTAGGGATATATGGGTCCAAGTGGCAAAATGCTCCCACACTCTCCTCACAATCTTACACTTTAGAAAAAGGTGGGTAAAGGTCTCGGTCTCATGGCGTCTAGTTTCAGAACAACACACACACTGAGAGGGGAAGGAGATCCCCCTCGCGTGTAACATAGTATCCACGGGTATCCAGCGTAAGAGGAGGCGCCAGAGGAACACCGAAATGGTAGGGATGAAAAGGTCGCTCCAGATGGCCCCGAAAAGAAGATTAGGCCGATCTCTCAACCTGATCTGCTCCCAAGCCGAGGTAGTAGAAAACACACCCGATGATGTAAGTCTCCACCTCATGCCATCCGAACCGTCCCCCGAGATGGGGATCTGCTGGATCTGATAAAAAAAATGCTCGCTAAAATCCGCCCCAAAACCCAACTCCCTATCTAGCTTCCCCCTATCCCATGACCCGTCCGACCAAAGGTCGCTCACAAGCAGGTAGGAGGAATGCGAAACATGTCTATCCTTAGACAACGACCTATCACCTACCCACCACTCATCCCAGAAACTAACCTCGCCCTCGCCCAAAACCCAGAAGATGTGATCCTGGGCACGCCTACCGACCCTAGTGAGGCGCCGCCACTGTCTGCTATCATGATCAACTGTCGTCACCCAACAAGGGTGGTTGGCACGTCTAGGGCAGTACTTGCCGCGAAGTTACTGAGCCCAAAGCGACTTTCCCTCCCTGAAGCGCCACCACAGCTTGTAGGAGAAAGCTGTAACAATGTCCCTGAGGCGGCGGATGCCAAGGCCACCCTCGGGAAGGGGGCGGCAGATAGAGTCCCAACTCACCCAGTGGGTACGTCTCCCCCTCCCAGAACCGTCCTCGTAACCCCAGAAATAACGGGCCATAATCTGGTCAATCTCGTCAAGAGTAGACCTAGGGGGTCGAGGACCATAAGCAAGTGAATCGGAAGAGAGCTAAGAGTGCTCTTGATCAGCGCAAGCCGACCATCGAAAGAAAGATGTCTATGCGACCAACCAGAGATCCTGTCGATCATCCTCCGCCTGACGCCCGCAAAAAGCGCTCTCGTGAGGTTGCTCTTATTTAAAGGGACACCAAGGTAGGTAATGGGAAGGTCGCCACGCGCAAAGCCAGTAATGTCATGGACCCGCTAAGCCCACCTGTACACACTGGAAGAGAAGAAGGTGAAGGTGCTCTTCTACACACTAACCAGCTGACCGGTAACCGAGGCATAGTGCTCCAAAAGGCGCATAAGCTCGACCAGTCTATCATCATCCGCCCGGGTGAAGATGATGATGTCATCCGCATAAGAGAGGTGAGAGATGGGAGGACCATAGCCACGGGTGCTATAGGCCATATGAGGAGCGTCGCGAATGAAACCGTCAAGGCATCGAGAGAAGTAGTCCGCCGCAAGAACAAAAATGGAAGGGGAAAAGGGGTCGCCCTGTCTAAGGCCTCTAGAAGAGGTAAAGAAGTCGGTGGGGCTGCCATTAACCAGGACCGAGAACGTGCAGTGCTCCACACACGCCTCCACAAAACTGATCCAACGCTCAGGAAATCCCATCCTAGCCAGTGCCTCCCTAAGAAACAGTCACTCAACCCTATCATACGCCTTAGCCATGTCTAGCTTCAGCGCGATATTCGGATCCCGCTTCCAGTCCGCACGGGAGATGTCGTGGATCATATCCTGGGCCAGAAGGATGTTATCACTAATGACCCGATCCTTGACGAAGCCACTCTGGTTCGGAGAGATGAGGGAGGGGAGAAGGGGTGAGAGGCGGCTGTTAAGAATCTTCGAAATGAGCTTGTTGGTCAGGTTACACAGGCTAATGGAATCGGACCAAGAGCTCGGGTTGGGTCTTTTAGGGATCAAGACGACAGAGGTAGACGTGAAGGAATCCGGCATCTGGTGATCGGAGAAAAAATCCAACATTGCCTTCTCGACGTCAGTCTCGACTAAATCCCAGCAGGCCTAAGAGAGAGGAGAAACCATACTGGCCAGAAACGCTGTTGGGATCAATCCCGAAGACAGCATCCCTAACCTCCTCCCTACTCGGGAGCTCACAGAGTCCAATGAGATCGACCGAAGGAGGGATGGTGGGGAAAAAAGAAGCGGTCGGGGCCACGAGGGACCCTCTGTCAGAGGTGAAGAGGGTCTGGAGTGAGCAACAACCGACTCCTGAATTTGAGCCTCCTGGGTCAGGGATGACCCATCAGCCTCGATACTATGAATGTACGACTTAGCCCGCTTCTGCCTAGCGTAGCCCTGGAAGAACCTAGTATTCCGCTCGCCCTCGGCCACCAAGCGAACGGCCGCCTTCTGCTTCTAGAAGTCCTCCTCCATAAGGAGTCGGAGCTGGTACTCAAGGTGGCAGCGGTGCATCGCAGTCCTATTCTCCGGAGCGGAGTCCAGGTCATAGGTCCACTCAGCCGCCGCGTGCGCACTCTGAGCCGCAGAAAGGCGCTGATGAAGGTTTCCAAAAATATCTCAGTTTCACTGTCTCAACCGACACCGCAGTCTACCGAGCTTCGCCTCGAGATTGCGCATCCCAAAGAG